TTACTATGTTTCCTGAACATCTCAGTTCTAGTAATAAGAACATAAGAACCTTGTTGGATCAGTCTAGGTGGTCCATCCAGATGGACTTTGGCTCACTCATAAATGAAAATGGTAACCAGTGACATCTGTTGAAATTATCATGCCCTCTCCATGAGTTCTTCACCAGAAGATCAACCAGATTTACCAATGGAAGTGTCACAACAGTCTAGATGTAACTAGAATTGTTTGGGCTTCTTTTCTTGGCTTTCTGAATGGTTGGGCACTGAGAAGAAATTTCATTTTTCAACAGTGTCATGCTGACCTGTCTTGGCACAAAAATTACCAAGGAGAGCTAACTGTTTTTCTTTTGAATCATTGTAATTGGAGGCTTTGCTTTACATAATGGAAGAAAGGCTGTAATGTTCTAGATTGGTACAGAGTGATCCTGAGCTGGCACATGGTACTTATAAACCATGGTTGTAATTTTGTAAGCCAGTGTTGTAGTGCGTATAAACCAGGGGTCAGGAAAGTGTGGCCCATGGGTTGCTGCTGCAAGGTAGTTTTTGTGGTCTACGAACCACATCAGAGTCCTCCTCCCTATTTTTTTTTTCTATTATGTTTTCTGCTCCTGGTGGTTTTGCATGAGAAAAATCTTTCCTGCTCTATCTCAACCACCTTAAATGTGGAAAAATGAAACTGAAAATGGCCAGAATCCACTATCATGGTGTATATTACATAACTGTATTTATTCTTAGCTACATAGCAGAGGTATTAAGAAACCCTGTTAGTGAATTGTGAAAATGTGTAATGGGATCTTGGCAAGAGTATCCAGCAGGACTCATGTGCCTCTTCCTTGTTGTGCATCAGTCCCAACACACATCAGTCACTTTGCTAGCTCTTCTATGTATGGAATTGCCCAATTCTAATTCCCACTTAGCCATGAAAATCCACTGGGTGACCTTGGGCAAGTCACACACTCTCAGCCCCAGAAAACCCTGTGATAGATTCATCTTAGGGATGACATAAATCAGAAATGACATGAAGGCACACAACAAAACAACAACAACAACAATTCCCACAGATGTAAATCCACTGACAAAAGAGTTACATCCTTGACAGGATTCCGGCTTATGAAACTATTGGTGCAAGCCACTCCCATTTCTGATTTTTAACATTTGGGGATATTTTCAGACCTAGCTGAGCCCTGGTCACTCATGGATCCTCTGGACCATTGGACATTGTCAAACCTTGATATATACTGGGAAAAATGTACTTATAAATTGGGAAATCACTTGTTCCATAATAATAGCTAAGGCTGAACTTCACAAAGTCAGTTACAAATGCATAACCTGGAGTTATCCATTCATGACTGTTTAGTATTCATGATCTCTACGTATTCCCTAATTTAGGTGGGTGTGAAAGTCCCCAAATCACTGCTTATTGGGCAACTGCTGATGTGAGCAATGGGTTTTATTCCTCTATCAATTAGGAAGCCTCTGACTGATGTTTCCATTCCTCTTTGTGTGCGTGATCTTCAGTGTGAGGGGAATTGCAACAGGGACACTACTTCTTCCTGTCACATCAAAGATCACTCAGTGGAGGGGATGAGACCAACATCAGTCAGTTGCTTCCTGATAAACAGGCTGAACAGACCCTTGTTAATGGGAGTTGTTGCTGCCTAGTAAGTGGGGATTGGGAAGGGTCAGGTTGGAATCATTGAGTAGCTACATAACTACAGTGATTACACATTGGTAGCTACCCAAGTAACTTCTTGCCTAGATACGAATGTATGTATGCAAAGAGATCTTGTAGCATTGTGCAAAAGAAGTTGTAGCAGAAGCTTTTGTAGACTTGGTCTACAAAAGTCAAATGCATGAAGTGATCTGGTGTCAGAACCAAGAACCCTTAGGCTCCAATGTACCAAAGGATCAGTGTTTTGTTGAAGTGAAAACTAAAGAACTTTATTGGATACACAAGAATAGGATATTCTCAGCAGTGTGAAGTTAGAACTGCCCACACATAGCTCAAACATCATATTAAAACCCTATTGCCCCAACTCCTCCCCTACAAAATGGCACACAAAACTACATTCCCACCAACTAGCTACTGATAGTTATAACTGTCAGTGTGTGGATGGTGGGTGTTGCAGTGATGCTCTTTGACACCCAGCAGAATCTGCAGGACAAGCTGGCTGCTGTGATCCACAGCCACTTTGTATCTCTTACCATCAACTAGCTCAGCTTCTCTTCTTCAGGATCCTGTCTTCCTCAGTCAAGAAGACACATTGTAAAGTCCAAAAGTATAGTTTATTAATGCATGTAAAAGAAAATAAGATAACTAAGTAAAATCCATTGTGATGAACTTATCCAGTTCAGCCATGAGAGGTTACATCATTAACAATCCCAAAAGCATAGGATCCCAACTTGTTGTAGCTGAAAGTTAAGAAGAAGTTACAGATCCATGTTTCCAGATCCAGGAGTCACGTTATAAAAACAGTATAAACATACTCTAAAAACTAAAAGCCAAATATCTCCATGGTTAAAACCACTGCCAGACATGCACACACGCATTCACAATGTGTTTATAAACAAAACTAGACAAAGTATTCTCTTGGCCCTTCCTATAGTCCACCTTCTGGGTGTTAACCTTATGTTGATTGGATAATGCCTGCATGATGTATATTAACCCAGCCTCTTGCTGTCCATCATCCCCCATGTGACTCCTTTCCCATGATCTCAGATGTTGATGCACTGACTATCTTTTCCCAAGTAAAAACTATAATTGTTATGACTTCTTGGCCATCTGGGCCCAGCTCTCCCTGCCTCCCTAGATGTTGTTCTCATGAGGAAAATTCCACACACACATCTCTATATTTCACCTTTGACTGTATAACCCATGCATCTTCTAACAATAGGTATGGAGTTTATCACATTGAATTTAAAGTGACTTATCCCCGACGGGATACAGTTGCATTTAATTTTAAAAGCGGGTGTTACTGCATGCAGCTGCAGTTGGGTGAATGCAACGTGTATGCAGGTCAGATCACAGCTGCACTTATCCAGTAGCTTTTCAAAAATTGCAAGTTCCTATTTTTGAAAAGCCTCAGGATAAGCACAGCTGGGATCTGGGCTGCATACGGGTTTCACTTGCCCAGCCGTGGCTGCATGCAGTAACACCGGATTTTAAAATTAAATGAAACTGTATCCCGTTGGGGACAAGTCGCTTTAAATTCAATGCAATAACCTCCTATGTCTCTAGATATGAATGTGTTGTGGTTAGATATTTTTAAATTGACTCTGACTTATGATGAACGTTTCATAAGGTTTTCCTCGCAAGATTTCTTCAGAGGGTGGTTGCTGTTGCCTTTGTCTAGAGGAGGGTGACCAAAATGGTGAAGGGTCTGGAAACCATGCCCTATGAGGAGAGAATTAGGGAGCTAGGTATGTTTAGCCTGGAGAAGAAACAGTTAAGAGATGATTTATGATAGCCCTGTTTAAATATTTGAATGGGTGTCATATTTAGAATGGAGCAAGCTTGTTTTCTGCCACTCCAGGGAATAGGGCCTAGAGAACACAGAGCAATGGATTCAACCTATAGGAAAAGATATTCCACCTCAATTTTAGGAAGAATTTTCTGATGGTAAGAGCTGTTCAATAGTGGAACACACTCTCTCAGAGAGCGGTGGAGTCTCCTTCTTTGGAGGTTTTAAAACAGAGGTTGGATGGCCATCAGTCAGGAGTGTTTTGATTTTGAGTTCCTGCATGGCAGGGGATTGGACTGGATGGCCCTTGTGGTCTCTTCTAACTCTATGACTCTGAGAGAGTATGATTTACCAAAGGTCACCTAGTGGGTCCCCATGACAGCAGACATTTGAACCCTGGTTTCCTGGAGTCCTGATTGTATACTCAAACCAGTATACCACACTGGCTTTTAAATGTCAGTGTATGAATCCCCAAAGCAGATGGATGTGCTCTCAAAGTTTATCTAAACAGCAAAAGTCTGGCAGGACAGCAAAAGTCTGTCCTCAGAATTTATCCTCATCTATTCTCTGGGAGCTACAATAACTTAAGCGATGGCAACTGGTCCCAAGTCAAGCTGTGAGCATCACAGTCACTCTTCATGGAGTGCTCCATCACACTGGTTTTCAGGTGCTTCCCCCATCACAGCATACATTGTGACAGGCAAACTTACATAACATATTCCCAATCAATGATAAGACCTTTTTCATGCTCCATATCCTAGGATGAATTCAGAAGAGTTGGATCATCTCTAAATGGTATGCTTATTCCGTGTCATCTACACACTCCAGTAGAGCCTAAACAGGGTTTTTTTGTGGCTTGCTATAGCTCTTCAGCATGGCAAACAATGAGTGCACACAGCCATTCCCTGCCTGAACCACTTTCTGAAGTCCAGTTGTCTGGTTTTATGTCTATGATATTGTGAATTTTGGCCAAACAAATCCATGAAAACAAGGGACACATCTCAAGGTGCTCAAGGAACAAATGATTTCTCCTTGTTTTGTAACACTTGATTTAAGGCAGATTTCTCTAGGGCAATGTACTTTTATTGACTCAGTTCCCTTTAGTTATATTTGTAGGTTCAACCCATCTTTTTATTTAATGAACAGATTAAGTGCCCCAGTGTGAGTTTCTGTTCCTATGATGGGAGAAGGGAAGATTACAGTTGGTATGTATTGTGGTTATCATGATTATTTCCCTTGTTGTTGTTGTTACAAAGGTGCACATTTTCATTATAAAAAAAATACATGGAAAGGAAAAAAAAAGGTCAGTATGTAAAGCAAGTGACACTAGTGCAATTAGCTTTGTGTAATGTGGGAGTTAGATGTTGGACTGGGACTTGGCTGATCCATGTCTGCTCCCAAATGAGTTACAAAACTCACTGTGTATCTTTTGGCCAGTCACTCTTTCTCAGTCTAATCTATCTTGCAGGGTTGTTATGAGGATAAAGTGAGAAGGCAAGCCATCTGCAACTGTCTTGAATTCCTTGGATGTAATACAAATGCCAGTGTAGTGTAGTGGTTTGAGCATTGGACTGTGACACTGGAGGCCAGGGTTTGAATCCCGGCTTGGCCACGGAAACCCAATGGGTGACCTTGGGCAAGTCATACTCCCTCAGCCTCACAGGATGGCAATGTCAACCCTGCTTTGAAGAAACTTGCTAAGAAAACCCTATGATAGATTTGCCTTAGGGTCGCTATAAGCTGGAAATGACTTGAAGGCACACAACAACAATATAAACAAATTGATACATCATACAGCTTGTACAGTTCTCCACCCAGATGAGTAGATGCACAGATGCCTGCTTCCACGTGCACATATATAACACCTAGGGGGATTGGCACATAGATTCACAAAAGATTTTGGCCTGATTTCTGTAAACTGCTATGCATGTGGAGTGATTTTTTTTTGGTCAATATGGGATGGACATATCCCGCACTTGGAACCATTGCAGATGTGCAATAATGGATCTAGAGTAGTGTGTCAGTGTGCGTTGTGCATTGTGGAATAAGATGACTGCTATTCATAATTTCTCATATATTGCACTACAGTGGTATTCAGCATAGAGATGACATAGTGCTAGCATAGTGCATAATAGCGTCTAGTTACACTATACTGGAGTGGCATACAATTTCAGCCATGGTCTCATAGATATTTTCCAGCATTTTTAGTTCAGTGCTCCCATAGTTCAGTGCACACATGGCTAGCTGAATATACGACATACTTTACATGGTATTCTAAAAGCATTATTGGTGAGTCTTCCATTAAATAGAGTCTTCCATTTGAAAAGCAATGGCTAAAACTGTATGATTTTCTGGCTGGCATTCAATATTGCAGTATGCAAAGAGATCTTGTATCACCTTTGAGACTAACTGAAAGAAAGGTCTGTCTTTGGACTCTCCACTCCAAACATGCATTTGATGAAATAGGCTCAAGCCTATAAAAGCTCATGCTACCAGCTTCTTTTTTCAGTTAGTCTCAAAGGTGCTACAAGATCCCTTTGCATACTGATTTTCTAGACTTAAATGGCTGTATCTTTGAATTCAATATTGCAGTTATGTATTTGTAACCTATAGTATTCTGTATTCAGTAGGACTATGTAGTTTTATTGTGAGATTTCATAAATACCCCCCCAACCTGCTTTAACAATGAGCAGCCAGATTTATAGAAGGAGGAAAGGAAAGGCTTAGATATAGGATGGGTAACACCTGGCTTGATAACAGTGCATGCAGTACATGCAAATGGATCTGGGAATCTTAGTGGACCACAGTGTGATGCAGCAGCCAATATGGCCAATATGATCATAGGCTGCATCAATAGGAGTGTAGTATCTAGACTGTGGGAACGTATAGTACTACTCTATTCTTCTTTAGTCAAACCTCACCTAGAATACTGTGTCCACATCTGGGCACCACAATTTAAGAGGGATATTGACAAGCTGGAATGTGTTTCAGAGGAGGGTGAGCAAAATAGTGAAAGATCTGGAAATCATAATGTATAAGGAGAGGCTTAGGGAGTTGGCTATGTTTAGCCTGGAGAAGAGAAGGTTAAGAGGTGATATGATAGCCCTATTTAAATATTTGAAGGGATGTCATATTGAGGAGGGAATAAGCTTGTTTTCTGTTGCTTCAGAGAACAGGACCCAGAGCAATGAATGCAAACTAGAGGAAAAGAGATTCTACCTCAACATTAAGAAGAACTTCCTGACAGTAAGAGGTGTTCAACAGTGGAATACACTGCCTCAGAGAGTAGCAGAGGTTTTTAACCTTTGGAGATTTTTAAACAGAGGATAAATGGTCATATGTTGGGCATGCTTTGATTGTGTCTTCCTGCATGGCATGGGGCTGGAATGGATGGCCCTTGTGGTCTCTTCCAACTCTATGATTCTCTGATTCTAGGTCTGTTCAGCTGTCCATCAGGGTGCAAGGAGGATGACATTTCCAGCCCCCTCTTCCTAGTGAGTGAGGCTGAAACAATCAAAAGCATGAGTCTTGTTGCAATTTCTCATTGCAGCTTTCTCATTGGTAGCAGACGGATGGAAACATCCTCCTCCTTGCATCCCAAACAAGGGATCCACTCAGGTTAGTAAATGCTACTCCAGCCCACCTGAAGAGCCAGCTGGACATTTCCACCCTCTCCTGCCAGTGTGTGAGGCTGTGACAATCAGAAGCAAATCCTTGTTGCAGCCATATTTGCTGGTGGGAGGGCATGGTAGAAACACTCTCCGCCTTGCACCCTGGATGCTGAATGGACATTCTTTGCCTGATCTGGTAGCTGAATCTTAAGATGGGCTGAGATGTTCAGGCCAAGAGACATTAGTTACATATAGTAACTAAATAGCTGATGTGGAATATTGGCAATATTGGAGGAATTACCTTGCCTTCCCCACTTGGTCAGACTGCTGCCCCCCCCCCATCCTTCAGAGTCCTGCATGGCAGCTGATGCATGGACTCCAAAGGCATCTTCCCTGGCCTTCAAAGTCCCACATGGTAGTTGCCGTGTGGGAATCTGAAGTCACCGCTGCCTCCCAGTAGCTGCCACAACTAAGGGGGCAATGGTGTGCCTTCCAAAGGGCCCGTTTAGGGACCAGTATGGTTGCTGGGCAAATGGGAAAGCACTTGCCCAGTAGCCGTGCCAGTCCCTCCAGGTGTACCACATCACCAGGTGACATCCCCCTTTGGGGTGTTACCTGGTGCGGACCACATCTCCTGCACTGTCTAGTGATGCCACTGCAGTGTCCTCTTCAGACTTACAGCTCCTTTGATTTTATTTGGTTTTATTTTTGCACAAAAGCATATTTGCTAGATTGGTTTTCTTATGAATGATGATATGTCAAGGGTGTCACTACAGATGGCCCAGAATAGAATGTAAATGTCTCTTTCCCATGCTAACCTTGTCTGCAGGTGGTTTCCTCTCTGGCTCTGTTTTAAGAGATCATTTCAGGATTCTGTAGCTTTGGTGAAGTTTCTAAAAAATGCATTTCCACTCAAATAGGAGAGATACTGCATGAATGATGATTAACTTTCAACAGCAGAATTCCTCCTACCCAGAGCTCTGTGCCCATCTGCTACTCAGCCTCCTTCATAATTACTGAATGCAAGAAGTAACATGGGCATATTTGTTGCTATCATTAAAAAGGGAGCATCAATTCTGCTCTAGTGCTTGAATCTTCCCAGAGTTAGAGCTAATGAGGAAGTGAGCACTCTGTTGGATCATAATCTTTAGTAATTACTTGGTGGTGGTTGCTGCTGTTATTATCATATTCATTTCTATCCCACCTTTTTGCTAGATTGGGACTCAAAGTGCCTTTGTTGTTGTTGTTGTTGTTGTTAACTATCTTCCAGTTGACCTTGACGTATGGCAACTCTATGAATGAAAGACCTCCAAGTCATCCAGTCCTCAGTCTCCCTGCTCAGGTATTGCAGATTCTAGGCTGTGACCTTTCTCGATCTAACCATCTGATATGCAGTCTCCCTCTTTTTCCTACTGCCCTCCATTTTACCAAGCAATATTTTTTCTTCTAGTGAGTCATGTCTTTTCATTATATGTCCAAAGTACAGCAGTCTCAGTTTAGACATCTTGGCTTCTAGGGAGAGTTCAGGCTTGATTTGCTCAAGGACCCATTATTTGGCTTTCCAACCGTTCACAGTATTTGCAGAACTGTTCTCCAGCACCACTTCTCAAATGAGTTGATTTTCTTCCTATCTGTTTTTTTTTGCACCCCTCCCCGGCATTCTGGTTTAATTCTGTCTTCCCCACCAACTTTTCTAGCCCCTGACAGAGCTATTTGCATTTTGTGTTTTGTTTGCTACATAGACTATTTCAAAACAGGATTGCTGACATCCCAAAATTTGCATCCTGTGAAGGGAATGTGTTGACAGAACTTGATTTCAAGCCACATCTAGAGTGACATCACATCTATGTTTAGTTGAGAAAGGACCTCTAAAGATGAAAAAGCTGCTATGCTGTGAATCTCTTCACCTGGACTGGTCATATAACTGTCATGAAAAATAGCATGAATTTGAGATATGAATGTAGTCATTTCTTGATTTCACTTTCTCTTTATATGAGTATATAAGTATGAGAGGATGCATTAAGAGGAGCAACACATGAATTCATCAACTTTTTGGCTTCCTTTGTTTAACCACAGTGGTGAAGAATCTTGTGTGAGAAACTTATTGCCATGGGTCTTTATGGGCTCATCTACACCTGCCAGAATACTCTAGGCTACTCCTGAAATATTCTGGTCCCAGATTCCCCCTGTAACCTTCATACTTTGTAGTGACACCAGTGGCTGTCTACACATTTCCCTTCGGTGTCACCCAGCACCATCGCTGTTGGCATGAGTCACTCCATCTGAGGTTACAATGAGTTGTCCAGCATGTGTGTGGGCACCTTGTTGTGACCTTAGAGGGAATGATTCACACCAGTTGTTGCAGCATTGGACAACAAAGTAGAGATATGTGCATAGATAGCCACCTGGTGGCTCTACAGAGTGCTCTGGATTTTCCTTTAAAATCTGGAGGTTGAATCCAGTTTTTAAAAACTGGTTTAAGGGAGGAATATGGGATGCAAGAGCTGGACAGTGAAGAAAGCAGACAGAAAGAAAATCAAGATGCCAGCCACAATGCTGGCAAAACGTCAGAAAGAAACTCTTCTAGAACATGGCTACACAGCCTGAAAAACCCACAAAAAACTATAGAAAATCAATGCATGTGAAATGTGCTGGAGAAGAGTACTTAGGATACCATGGACAGCCAAAAAGTCAAACAAATGGGTCCTTGAACAAATTAAGCCAGAACTATCCTTGGAAGCCAAGATGATCAAAATGAGGCTGTCGTACTTTGACCACATCATGAGAAGACTTTGGTCGCTGGAAAAAACAATAATGTTAGGAAAGGTATAGGGGAGAAGAATGAGGGGAAGATTGCAAGCAAGATGGATGGTCTCAATCAGGGGGGCACAGACCTGGGTTTGCAGGGTTTGAGCAGAGCAGTGGAGGACGGGGAGTCTTGGAGGTGTTCCATGAGTTGGGGCTGATTTGAGGGCAATTTAAAAAAGTGGATTTGATGCAG